TGTGTGTGTGTGTGTGTGTGTGTGTGTGTGTCTTCAGTCACAGCACGTCTTCCTCTGGACATACAGAACCCGCCGACAGTGAGGACAAGTGTGATAGGCGTCCTTGAAGTGCTTCACAAAGAACGGAATCAGGCAGCATCCAAACACCAACCTGCGGGAGAGAAATTACACGTCACTGTGTGTCGTGAGATGGATGCTGGGTAATTAGATAACTAGATTTGAACGCTGCTCTCCTCACCCGCACAACACAAACACAAGACACATGAGCCACGCGTGTGTCCCGACTTTGTAGGCGACCTGTGTGGTGACCTGAGCCTGACAGGAATGACAGCTCGTCAGGCCCGGAGAGCGATACAGCTGGTTCTCACAGCTCACAAACTTGGGCCTGGGGGTAGATGGATAAGGACACGACACTAGAGAGAAGACATCGGGGGACAAAAGTGAAAGTTACTTTAAAACAAGTGTAATCGGCATCTCTTCACTGAAGCTGCACGGTGTTTACACTGGGTGACATATTCTGACCTTTTGTGTTTTTAATCTCCACCGAGGAGGTTGTGTTTTCAGGATTATGCAAAAACTACTCAAACTAATTTCCATAAATCAGAAAGGTGGGGCCTGAAGGACCAGATATATTTTTGTGTCCCTCCTGAAATCTCTCAGGGTATTTTCTTTCTAACTTTAAGGTGATTTCTCGCAGAGTCATTCATGGATCTTGATGAAAAGGAAAATCTGACAAGTTCAGCCGAGTGTGTGCTCGGTGATCCAGTAAATGCGGTTTCATAAGGGGGCTGTTGAGTTGACAAACTAGAATGACACTCAGAGGCACTCGACAAACTTCTCTACAGTCAACACTTCTCGTTCATTATCGCTGATTATCAGGGAAGTAAAGCTAAATCACCCAAGTGCAAAGACATCGAGGCCTCGATATATTTAAAAATGGAGGCAGAGTGTAAGCGAGCATGTACCTGGCAGAGGTAAATGAGTTTGAGCGGAGCGGCCATCAGAAGAAAAGGAGAAGGACTGAGGAGGAGGTGGAGGACTGAACGGTGAATGGATGTGGTAAATCCTCCCATCTTGTCCTGTTTGACTTTCATCTGCAAATAAAAAGACAGTTAAGTACTTTTACTGTGAGCACTTATTATTTCAGGCTCCGCAAACCGATCAGGATCAGTGGGGATTTTTACCTGGTATGTAGTAAGGTGGAGGTGAAGGAAAAGCCTCATCCACTTTAGGTAATGACTCCATTCAGTGCGTTAGGTGATGTTCCACAGGAAAACAGAGTTTGGATGTTTGCAGCAGCAGCAGTTAATCTGCAGGCCGCCTGCCAGGTGCAGTTAATGAAATCTCCTCTGATTGGTTAAACAGCCTATTACCCAAAAGTCAATGGCAGGATGTTGTTTTGAAATGAGGCTCAGAGGAACATTTACTTTAAAATGTGCATCTAAATTTCACCAAACTGCTCCACTCAATAGATCTGCTCGTGTGTGTTATGTAACCTCACTCCATTAGACGCCTTAAAGCCTTTCAGCTGTGACATCATGGGAAGTTAAACAGGAAGTGTGTTGTGTTCATTAACCGAAAATTATTCTCTTTATCTTCCATTAGTGTTGTTGGTGTCTGACTCTGCTGACATTCATCAGTTTTTACCCAAAAGTAAAAATAACTTCAATTTTCAGGGGGATGTGGGAATTTCATTTATCTGTCTGTCTGTCTGTCATCTATCTATTTATCTATCTATCTATCTATCTATCTATCTATCCATCCATCCATCTATCTATCTATCTATCTATCCATCCATCCATCCATCTATCCATCCATCCATCTATCTATCTATCTATCTATCTATCCATCCATCCATCCATC